TACAAGTACATCACAACAGAAGAAATTCAGAGTCAAGAATTCCAATTAGACACCCAATTAGAGAAACGGCGATATCTCATAATACTCGTAATTTAATTATGCATTCACTGATACTGCTGGAGGATGAGAAGGAAATGCATCCAATGAAACTAATGTCGATGTTGTTGGATCTAGGAAACATCCTCCGCAGTCGTTTTCACGGTTTATGCACTTTGCATCTTCACTCTTCGGGATGTGCTGGAGCTAGACTAACATATGAGCACACAGTTTGAACATACGCTTGTATGTAGGTACTTATACTTACTTACATTGTGGTTGGATTCACGTGTGGTTCTTCATTCCTTCTTCACTGCCTGTGCTGGTGCGTTGTGCGTACGTTCGTTAAGCAGCGTTTAACTAATAAGAATGTGGCTTGCCGAAGGTGGCTCCGGCACGATGGTAATTTCAGGAATGCGCGTAGATAAATTTCAATCTTTTTTTCTTCAATCGGCCGCCATCTTTGCATTGCAGCGCAGCGAGCAATTAACCAGCGAAGAGAATCGAATAAGGAAATATTTCGAGTCATAACTCAATTCTCCCAAGTCTCATAGCACAAGCAAACATTAACAATCATTGATTAACTTCTGATAACATAGGTGACATTGATGAGTATCATGTTATTGTCATATTTAACGTCCGGGTGTGTGAATGAAAATGTCCTCTGTGCGGGAGTACATTATCTGCTTTTAATTGTGTGTCGCCCGCCGAAGAGCGCGCTCGAAGCGAAGACAATTGCTTCGTACATCATCCGAACACGTTTCGCAATACGCCTACGGCGGTTGCGGAGGCGCCACGGAATTTCTTATTGTTTAATTTCGCTTGTATATACTCCTAAGTTATTAAGTTATTTGCAGTCTTTTTACAACACTGCGTTTGTGTAGTCAGACTTGTTTTACGAGGCATTTCGCACGTTTTATATATTTTCAGGACTCGATTAAAAACACTTCCTGCATTATTAACGAAAAAACAAACAAAAATTCTTTGTTATTTTAATAATGTTGTTGTGTAATGATAAGAACACATTAGATTAGTGTGTGTTGTATACACAGCAGTTGCATTAACATACTAGTTTGTAATTAACTAATTAATACGCGTTCAACAAGCGGTGTAATTTCTGCAGCTTGCTAATAACATTATTAAGTAGTGCAGAATGAAGTTGAAGCAGAAGATGCGTAAACGTCGATGGCGGAGTGCTTCAATTACATGTAAATTATGCGTGTAGTATAGCAAATACAAATTACAGAGTAGTAAATATTTACAATTGGAATATTTATTAATTTTAAATGAATAAATTCATGTTTCATGTAATTTAAGAAAAATAATAGTTAGGCAACCAAATGTGCACGACTAAGAAACACATTCAAAGTTTAAGCGTACAGCAATCGCAAATTTACTAAACGTGCTGCTAAGCGCGCTAATTAACACATGTAACACGCTGTAAGATGTTTAGAAAGATACGCAAGTGTCGGGAAGATGTATCAATTGAAAAGTGGAAAGAAGTACCCATATTAAATGCACTACAATACAAGTTAAAGCCCAGCAGCAAGATTTTGCAATTTTACAGCTTAAAAATAAAAGCGTAGGTGGTTTAACAGAGTAGATGAATAAAATTAGCATTAAAAACCAGCTTTTAATGTTTTACATTTAAAAATTTAAAATGTTGATGCTCCGTGTGCACTGAGATTTAAAATAAGTGATCGAATGCATACGAATGACCAATTAGCGCAATTCAATCGAACGATAAACCGTCTGCCAAGTTTTTCACGTCTTCCCCTCTGATTGTCAATTAGAATTAAGCCGAGTGCACAATCATAAACGATGGAAAGTGCACGAATTTATAAATAAAAATCAATGCCGACTTGCCGATGTTGTTGACGTTGTTAACCGGCGCGCGTTTTATATTTTAACATAATACGATATTATATCGAAGAATGCCTCCAACCTGCAAGGGCTGCGAGGCATCGCAAAGCGAAAAAAGTGGCCTGATCGCCGATCGTTACTCATAATGATTTCGTATTTATGTTGTGCCCTCGACGAAAAAAAGCGCTCCGAAACAGCACTCAACAACGCAGCAGCACTCGTCGAAAACGAAAAAAGTGTTGAAGTCGTTGTTCCCACCTTCGAACAATCTTATAGTCTCTCCACCGAGCACACACGGCCACATACCCCCTGCTACTTTAACCCATTTCAATACAAATGAGTTTGGTGAAATATTTATTAGTATTAAATTAAGTGTCGGGATATATGCGAGGTGCGTGCTTGGTGCGCGTTTTTTCTGAAAACCGACGCTGGCGTTTTGTTACTCGTTGCTTGTTGGGCGCGCGCGTGTATGCGTGTGGATGAGTGTGTTGTTCATGTTTAAATAATAAACGGCGAACAATTAAAACGAAACGCACCACGTGGCGTGCGTACGGTGTGCGAGATGGACTTGCCGCTGTTGCCGGCGCGACGTGAAGCACACCAAAGCACACACAACGGCAGAGGCACGCTAATGAAGAACAAATAAACGCTGTTCGGCGAGGTGGAAGTTGCGTCCAAAATGAATACATCATTATCGGGAGTTGAGGAGGATAGTGGATAATAATCGACTAAGTAGGGAGTCCTGGTGACGCTAACAAGAGGTTACAAATGTAAAACATTTGTTTGTTACACTTTCAACTTACGGTTGAATGTTTGAAACATGACTTAAGTACACTACGTCTTATTTTAATGAACATTTTAACTAGTGTAGTCGATATTGCAATATTTTTAAATTTTTACTTTTAAAATTTATATTTTATGGTCAAGATATCTTAGATTTTGACAAAATTTTTTAGAAATGTTAATATTCATCGGCGCCGTGGCTTAGTTGGTTAAAGCGCCTGTCTAGTAAACAGGAGATCGGGAGTTCGAATCTCCCCGGGGCCTATCGTCCTATAGAGGGCGTTTCTTTTAAAATAACTCAGTGTTTTATTGATATTTTCTAGATCTAAGTAAAATTCTAGGAAAATTTCATAAAAATACTTTAAAATATTAGGCTGGCGTCAAAATAAGCAAATGTTTATTTCTTTGAAGGAAAATTAAATTTTTAAACATTTTTTCAGCTAATATAATTAAGGATATTGGCGCCGTGGCTTAGTTGGTTAAAGCGCCTGTCTAGTAAACAGGAGATCGGGAGTTCGAATCTCCCCGGGGCCTAGGCGGTGTAAAACTTGCCAAAAACGAAATTTTTCGAACAGTTTGGTGTGTTTTGCGTAATATTCTCTACTTTAGATGTTATATTCTCCATACACCTAAATATTTACTAAGCAAATTACCTAAGTAATCAAATTGCATTCTATTTGACTTAAATTAAGTCAAAGAAACCAGATTTAAGTGAAATTCTAGGCGTAATTAAATACTTAAGTTAGATGAACCCTTCACAAGTTGCGTGCAAGTTGTACACTCACTTCAACTAAATTTTCTGTTGTTTTCTGAGCAAATTCTTTGCTCTTTCCTCATTCGCGGCAGTTACAGCATCACTTACTCCAACGAAATGGAGTAAAAACATTTAATTGTTGGCATTTCGGGCGAGAACTTCTAGCATTCCAATTCGATTGGTAAGTAATTCTATAATTACACATCGTATCGGCTTCGAACGTCTTGGGATCGCGTTGGATTTAAACATTGGCGTGTTTTGGAGCTTTTGGCCGATGCGCGTCTAGTTATTTAACAAATAATTGGATAAACCGGTAGAATCGCCATTTGATCGTGTAATGGAATCGCTCGAATTTCACTCGTGTTTGTACTCCTAACGCAGAATTCCGATTCTAATCGAAAACGCATGGATTCTTTTGTGTACGCACTCACCTACACATTACTATTCATCAAACATGCTCATATCCCACAAAATAAAGCATGGGAAACATGGGTTGTGCATAAAAAAGACTCAAAACAATATTAATAATTTTAAAACAAAAAATTAATCAGTTAAAAATCGTTTTTTGCGTTTTTTTACTAAAAATTTACAGTTTACAAGCAAATTACATCGATTTTTGAAGTTTGTAAACATAAAGTTCATGCATTTTCACTTCCAACTTCATTTCTTGCCTTCTCTGGTCATTAGCCCTTAGTGTTTTGCTTATTTCTGGGAATTGAACGTCACTCCAATTTCAAATGCGTACCTACTTTTATTGCATTATTAAGTGCCGTCCAGCAATAATTCCGATAAACTCGAGAATTGTAAGCATAAAACAGAAATTTCATCCGCACAGCAAATAATAACGTAATACCAGGGCAAGTAACAAATTGTTGTTTTCGATTTACGAGAATATCGCTGACCGTTTGAGGAGCCAACAAAAAAAAAACACGCCGCGAAGAAGCAAATAACCAGTAAGTAACAAAGTAACATTCTTACTAGTTGCTTGTAATTATAGACTCCGCATCGGTCAGTTCGAGACGTAACTGTAGCGTGGCGAACAATTTCTCTTTCTCGCAAATTAATTGTTATTAATTCGTGAAATTAAATTCACGAACTAATTGATTTTCAAATCGGGCGAATGTACGCATTGTCAAAACCGCAACATTGTGAGTTAATTAGAGAGGAGTTTTTATATTAATTACTAATCTAACAGTATTTAATCGTTAAAAAAATCGCGATTTTTTAATTTCACCAAATTAAATTGATAAATGAAGATAAAAATGTTTTCTATTGAATTTATATTAAAAATAATTTTTGACCGGACGTAAGAATTCAGCAAATACAGAATTTTAGTTTAGCAACCACCGAACAACCAGACAGCCTCGCAACTTCTTCAGTTCTCTCTCTTCGTACGAAAGTACAACTCGCGTTCCACGATTTCCCCCATCACGGCCATCACCATCCATCGCCGAGTTGGCGTTCTCTCTTCCACACGCAATTCTTTCCCAGTGTCTCTCACGCCGGTCGTCCCCCAACCGCGACCGCGACTGTGCACCAGCTTCAGTATCTGCTGAGCCGTTGCATCGTGCATGCAGAGTTCGTGCGCGTTCGGTCCGTTTACGCGTACGTTCGCAGCGCACACGCATATCACAATCACGTCTCCTTCAGCATACTCTCTAAACGTATCACAGTGTCCTCCTATCAGTGGTAACACACCATCGAAAATTCAACACGCAGCCAACGAAAACATTAAAACACAATGTGCGTTACTTAAAACTCAATTCATTATTAACATTATTGGTGATTTTGTACTTGTGGACTTGTCTAGATAATATCAGTGGAATGTTACTGCTACATCGTGCGAATTTTGTGTGAACTTGTTTCGGTTTTTTGTTTATTATCTGCCGGTGTGTGTGCGTGTGAGTGTTGTGTGTTGTTTTGTTGATAACGCAGGCACGCACAGGACGCAGAGGACGATGATGCAGCGTCGCATTGCAACGTCGTCGCGGCCGTCGCTGTTTTAGTCGCTCTTTCGAGGAGGTTTGGTGATTCGAACGCGGCTCGCGGTTGTTGTTGTTCGCGGTGAAGATGTGCAGTGTCGTGTGGCGACTTTTGTGTAGGAGCATGTCACATGGATATTTATTACACTTTTTCCTTCTGTTGCTCAACTTATTACAGGTAAAAATTTTGCGTAATAATTGTTTCTTAGAAATAGATTTTTTTTAACCGAAAAGGGTTTAAACACTACTACTATGTAAGCGGTCGCAGTTTAAAATTGCGAATGAAACGATAATTTCATGCCGACACGAAAAGCCTAATTACATCTTTGGAGCTGACTGGCGCTTAGGCCACTTTGGGTATATCTAGAGCACGATATTAAAACGTCAGCGGGGCAGCAGCAGAAACGAGAAATTAAACGAAAAACGCTTAAGAATTGTTTACGGTTGCGTCCGCTATTAATCTTCTCCTGAAACATTTAAAATGTCGAAAATTTTGCGGTCTATCACGCCGTTATTAAGATAAGATTGGAAGCAAAACAGAAGTGCATATTAGAATTTATTTTTAAAAACAGATTTCCGTGTCTTTCAACACAATACTGTTTATGTGTTGTTAAAATGTTTGCATTTTGTAACTTATGCAATGGAAAGATAATTAAAGTATTTTCGTATGCAAATTTGTTTCTTGAGGCAAAGCAGCGTGTTTTGAGACCGCATGCGGTGCGAGTTTCCGAAACTTGTTTCGTTCCGCGTTCCGTATCTTCAGCGTTCAAGCAGATTAACTTTTCGGATGCACTTGCGCTCGGATGATAAGGGGAATAAAAGAAATTTAAACAAACCGGAAAACGATTACCTCCAATTTTCGGTTGTTGTGGTTAACATTCGTAGCTATAAATTACATGCAAACACTTTAGCGTCGTTTCGAGTGTTTTAAGTGAATTGGGAGGAAATTTACATTCTCCACATGTCATGCGCTTGTGAAACGCCAGTTGGGCCGGACATTGTTTCGACTCAAATTAATTTAATTAAATTAAGACGCTTCGTGGCTCGCTTACAAAACAAATACTTTACGCTTAATAGCGCCCCGTATAAATTAATTGATGCGTGTGAATTTTCGCACATTTAAACGTCCGTAAACGAATTAGATTAACGGCAATTAAGATAAAAAATATTGTGTTCATGTATGTTTATAACGTTTACATTGTGAAGTAGTCTCCGTCGGCTTCCGATTATGATTTCTTTTCAACTTTTGTGGTTGCTTGGTGTTGTAGGAACCTAAGTACGTAATGAATTATGAATTGTAAAAATTGAACCTAATTGACTAACAATGCGGAATGTTTTACACTGCAGGACTTGTTAAATATTCAGATTGATCATGTGTGGGAATATTAAAAACTACACGCAGTCAGCGGAACTGTACCTATGTTACTTATCAATATATTCGCACTTGGCAATAAAGGTTATCAAATATTTAATTTACTCTACAAATTCCCACGGGTGATATCAATGAGTAATTTTTTATATAAAATGAAAACTGGAACTTGCTTAAATATCAATTACTCTGTTGAATTCTAAGAATTTAAGCCGAAATTTTGTATTTTTTGCAGTTTTACTTTAAAAAATATTTTAAAAATTTCTGAAAGTTCATTTTTAATGTTTTTTAACAATGCATTAAGCAATACTTACACGATTATTAAAAAAAATGCAACATTTTTATAGCTAAACTTAACGAGTAATATTAATTGATTAGTAAAACAATGAATTGCTATTGTTATTGCCATATTAAAACGCCCAACATTCTATAAAACAGTTCTTGTTGTTATAATTATTAATTATTTATTGATAACATGCTCACGATTTAATTTTTACGATTCAAAAACAATCCTGTTTTTTAACTTGTGTTATTTGTGTTAGAATTGTGATTTACACGTGTAATATACGTGTACATAGAGTTTCTAGTGCACTTATATCGCTTTATTAACCGGAAAACCGCACGGATATTTCCTGCCTTTGAAATGAATCCCTTCTGCGTCGTTGCGCCGCACAATAAAAGCGCTTTTATGCCGATGCGCGGTAAAGTAGCACCTCTCTTCGAATTTCGAATGGTGTACCTACCTGACGCTCTATGCACTTCGCAGATATCGTGCAATAATAGGTATTCTTTTCACATAGCGCGCATTGAACACCTGAACGGATTTGTTTACATTCCCCAGTCGTCTTTATCTCGTTTCTGCACGCTGCGCATTTGGTTGACATATAATTCCGTAGTTGTTTATATAATACAGAGTGTTTTAATATTTTAATTATTGTTTTATTGATGTTATTTTATGCGTAGAAATTAAATACTCTGGAAATTGTTTGATAAAATTCCAGAGCTTTTAATTTAATGCCGCTTCGTAGAAAAACTAAACTTTATACACGGCAGTTTAATTTTAATTCAGCCATTTGGACTCGTTTAGCAATTTAAACCGCATCGTGATTAACATTTTCTTGGCTCGTTTTCTCGACTTCGATTCGCGGAAAGTTTAATTGAATCCTTTATTAAATACGCGACCGACCGAATCATCATCGCGTTTCTTGTAATCCGTGCGCTGGATTATTGCGTTTTTATTTCATTTCTCATTTAAGTCACGTTAAACTTAATTGAAAGACAATTTGCTTTGAGAATTTCCATGACTACACAGAGGAAGTTTGTCATAAATCCTATTAGAACCTCTATTTACTTAGGACTTAACTTAAGTTTAAAGAAAACCTTAATCAAATAAAGTTGTTTTTATGCGTTGATATTTTTTGGTAATGAATGTGTTTGTTGAATCTGTTTCAGTGCGCGCATGGCTCCGGTTTCTTTGAACTGCAGGTGCTGGAGATGGTCAACCCGCTTGGGGAGCTGACGAACCGGGAGTGTTGTGGAAATGCCGGCGGCGCTGGCGTCGGAAACGGCATCGGCATCATGCAGCGTGCCTCGCTGGCATCGCGCTGTACGACGCCGTGCAATACTTTCTTCCGGCTTTGTCTCAAAGAGTATCAGAGCAATGTGACCAGCACCGGGTCGTGTTCCTTCGGGAACACATCCAGTCCGGTGTTAGGTCGTGATACCTTCACTCTCGCTGATCCTGAACGCGGAAAACTCGTCTTGCCATTCAGCTTTCGATGGACGGTGAGTAATTTTTATATATTTAAATAATTTCGGTTATTTTTTTTAAATTTTTTGTATTGGTGTGATAATGCCGTGCGCGATTAGTTAGTATTTCGTGGTCTTTCATGGTTTTTCAACCCGTCTGCGGCGTGAATGTCCGTAAACCTGTTTTTCGTAATAAGAGGGACTTATCACGTCATTATGCTGCGCGCACACAAGCGCGCAGCGTCTTTCTTCTCGGCGTACATGTGTTGCCGGTGTACTTTGCGTTAGTTACCAGCTTACCACCGCTGACTCTTGCGCGCCCCATCTTTGCGCTTCTTCGCGCATAGACCGCCCGTCGGTCGGGGCCCGTCCGAAGCGCGCATCGCTCGCCGCCGATCGCAAACGGGCACGAAATGAGCGTTTTTAACGAAACTGGTTAACGACCGATAGTCGCCGACGAAGATTCTCGCGAGAAAATGAACGCTTTGCGCCTCACCACAAAACAACGACCAAAAAAGAAAACGGAATATGAATAGAACGTAATGAAATCTTTGATTCACTCGCTGGAGAAACGTGAAATATTCAAAATTTTCTGTGATGTGTGTGTGTGTCGGGAGCAGCACGCAGCGATAAGTTGGAATGCGGTCTTCATGGGACGAGAACAATGGTTAATTAAGCTTAATTAGCGAAAATTGATGCAAACATCGGAACGTCGCGACTGCCTGACTCATTTAGTTCATTGTTGCGGAAACATTAAAATTGTTACTGCTTTCAATTAGTAATAACCTCATCGTCAGCGTGGCATTAATGCGTTTAATATGCGTACATGACTTAAGTCATTTATTCGGATGACTTAAGTGACATTAGGTGAAGTAGCTTTACTTATTTCAGTCAAAATAACGCAAACTTTAATTTTGACTTCTTAAAAGCAGTAATAAATCAGAATAGTTAATAATTCTTCGAAAAGCATCGATTAGACTCTTGACACATTAGTTGTAAGCGCATTGGCGAGTCATGCGAAATACGTGCAGACGAGACACGCAAGCCCGGCGACAGGAAGGAATAGTAATGAGGCGATTACATTTTCACACGTTCGATTATGTCAACGACGATAAATTACGAACTTTTTATTGCCTTCCTACTTATAATATCAACTATACTTATCGACACTGGTATCTCTCGGCGTGCGAGCATTGCACAAATAATAAATGCCCGCATCGCTTGCTTAATTGTCTTGCGTCTTAAGTCTGAAACTCGAAAACTTAAGCCGAAAATATTAACCAATAGTTATTGTGAAATAATAACATAAAACACGAATTAAAAACGTGAAATATATAGATTAACCGTTTTTTTTCGTCGATATTAATTAGCTCCTATGCTAATGAACTTGGAGCGCGCTCGGCTAAACAAAGTTTCGAGTGTGTGTGTGTGTGTGTGTTTAATGTTCAAATGCCCTGGATAAAATATTTTAATGATTGCCGTGATTAAAACGGCTTTAATTAATAAAAATACAAGTTTTACAACGCGCTAGGCCCAAAGGACATAGTCCACAACGCAAGGATGCGGTCGACGAACGTTCGTTATTAGTCTGCGCCGCGAAACCTAATTCAGTAGATGCCTAATTGTCTCGTTTGCATACTAATTGTCATCGTAACGAAGCTATCGGATTATGACGCTGGAATGTCGCCAATCGACTCAATATTTTTTCAAAATAAATAAATAACTAAATTCAGTGGTGAATTATTTTACGAATTTCTACTTAGATTTAGTTTAGACATGCTCGGCATGTTGTTAGTTAAGCACGGGGCGAATGCGCGCAATCGAAATAAATTTCGCCGCTTCCTCGTCTCTTCTTCGTTTCGCGTTCCGCAAGTAGTCTTAAGTGCGTGTACGTTTCAGATCGATTTAATGCCGTCGTTACGATCCGCTTTTCTCTTCTCTAAAACCTATGTAAGCACCGACGATCTAAATCTAAATCTATCCCAGGGCCTACAACCGGAGCAAACGATTAACCCAGCTTTATACACTCGCGACTAAATTTAATTCAATAAACTTAACGTAACGGAAAAACCACTAACTGCAAACACAAAGTCCGAACATTAAAATAAATACAGAAAAACTTGCATTTCAAGTGTCAAAGTTAACGCGCTGTACTCGTAATAAAATGTGTGTGAACAATAGACATTTTGTTTTTATGCATACAGAAACAAAAAAACAGTGTGCTTTTCAATTATTCGTCATGTCTTTAAACTTCAGTAGTACCTAGGTGAATAAAAAAGGCCTTCGAGTCGTTCATCTCGTTTAGTTTTTCTTCATTCTTCAATCCCGCTGGCTTGCGCATTATTTTTTGTCGTCGTGCTTTAAGTCAAGTGTCTCGTGTGTTCATGTTTGTAGATGATGGCGATAATAATCGTAACAAAAAGGCCCTCGAAGGCATCTTCTTCCTCTATCTAATTTCTTTGAGTAGTCGTTTAGTCTATTAGGACGTTGGCTGCGGGCGCAGCGGCGAAGAATGGCCACAAATGAAGAAAATAAAAACGTCAAATAAATACATCGTCGGTGGAAGTAGTAGTTACATTTTTGTGCTGGTCGAAGAAAACACGAAAACGCATGGTAAACGTATAATAATAGCACTTTGGGCACAGCACGTTGGAAAAGGACTTAATGACAGATTGTTTTCAATTGTGTGTTGGCGTGTGGGTCTTGACGACGCGTTCTACTTTTTTTTCGGTAGCTATGTGATATTATTATTGGATTATAAGAAAATCATTTAATTTTGCAGAAATTTATTTTTTTAAATTTAAATTTTAAAAATCAACATTTTAAGTATTTGAACTTTAAAATCTTGTTACTTAGCGATACCTACATTTGACAAGCATGAACTCTCTTACCAATTAGTTCTAATTAATGATCGCTCCTTAAAGCGACCTCGGCGTCTTCGTTTTTGTAGTGTTTAGCGCTTTAAACATCAAATGTGTCGTCGCGTCGTGCAAAGAGTGTTTGTATATGAAGCGTGCGACATTTTACAGAACGCGCTGCCAGTTTACGCCCGTTTTTATGCGGCGTCTGACTATGCACATCCAAGACTTGTTTCTTTGGGACATTATCCTCGAGTAGACCGGGTCGGAGTGCAATGCTTAATTAAAATCGTTTTAATCCGATGTACTCAAGCCACAAAGTACCAATTTACAGGTTCATGGTAAATGTAACTCTACAAAATGGAAATTTATTACATTTTTAACCTGTAGAGTATCATCTATTAAATATTAGCTTATGATTTTAATAAAATTTAATATACGCTTGGAGATTATGTTTTAAACTAGTGCTTAACTTGTAAGTTTGTTAATCTTCTCTTGTCTGTCCGTATCTGTCCGGAATTCTTGTATAATGCGTCGCATCTATTTGCCTACGGTTTGCATTTCGCAGTCGGGTCGATTACGTTGATTATTGCCGCGTTGCGAAGCGACAAAACGGCCCGAAGTCGAACGGCAGTTGTTAGCGGGACGAGTTATCGACTAATTGAGTCGAAAAGTGCGCATCGTCTCGTACGGCCCCATTGTCGACGTCGAGCGTATTTACTTCAGCTATTAAACGCGTGTTATTAGCGTTTGCCGGACGGAGACTCTACGTCGGCTTAATCAATTGTGAATAACGACGCTCTTTGCCGTGATCTTCATGATGATCATGATCAAGAACATGATCTTCACATTTACGAATATCTATCTATTTTCATAGACACAGAAAAAACACAAAAAGAAAATTCATAATTTGAAAATTTTAATTTTTGGCGTTTGAAATTTTGACCTCCAATAAAATTTTATTCTTTTATTTTATTATATTTTATAAATTTTGGTGAATGTTGAACATAATATTACTACCTATAACCATTGAGAACTTGTCGAAAAAAAACTAGTGCATATGTCAAGGTTTTGCCTAGTTTTTTTTGTTTTATTATTTCGTGTGATTTTTTCATTGAAGTGTTAATACATTACATTATGCAAATTGAATGTCATTCACATGCAGTTCTCACTCGATTCGCGTTCGCGCGCTTAAATGTTTGCTGTGGCGGTTACTTAATTCGTTATTTATGACCCGAGTGGCGGCATTGTTGCATTGGGCGAAGTCCCAAGAAAAAATGGACTAAAACAAAACGTGTGAGATTTATTTATGACTAAACGGGCGGTGGCATACGTTACCTTGAACTTTTTCACACACTCACATCACAGTTTTAAAAGTTTATAAAACGCAACATTTTTTTTAATCATAGTAATCGATTTAAATCGAAAGCAAACTAATTTTTTTGTTGAATTAAAAATAGTGTGGTTAATCAAGCTGGTAAATTTAATATTTTTTTTTATGTATTTGATTTAATTGTTAAAATGCTTGACATCCGTAAAATTACATATTATTGGAAACGTGTTTCTTGACTTCTCGAATAATATTTATTAATTGACGTAGCGGAAACCTTGAAAAACGCCCCACACGCGTACCACCTCGCCCAACGCATGTTACGTTTTGCGGCATGTTACGCTCGTTTCCTTTACATATTAATTAATCTTAATTCCATAGAGTTGCGCTTTTTATGCTCTTTAAAAACCTTCCATCGGTTAAGTGCGCATAAATTTAATGCGAGCGCTAATAGAATTTTCTTCATTCGATACCGAACGCAATCGGAATTGTAGAAAAATGTATAAATAAATAAAAATGAAGGTTAGAAATCATAGAAAATGAAATCAGCACAGTAGGCAATTTATTTTCTAGAGTGCAGTAATAAACTTGATTTATTGATCATTCATGCATCAATCAAAACATTATTTGCAAAATTGTATGAAAATTTTCCAATTTTTAAATTGTTTTCCGATAAAAATTTTTCATATTTTTCACAAGACACATAATTTTTATTGGCTTGTAAATAAATTATTAATAAAAAATATTTTTTTACTTATCCACATGGTAGATATTTATATATCTAGCACTTACCCACTTGCCGTGTCTGACATACTACTCATGTCAAGTCATTCGCAGCGTAATAATAT